GGGGAAGCCGGGAACCACGAGCGCGCGAGAGCTCCGCGCCCCCCGGAAAGCCCACGAACGCCCGGGAGCTCCACACTCAGAGCCCCGCGAGCCCCGCGCCCCCGACGCTGCTTCCAGGCACACTAGAGCAGTGCCATCTTGCGGTGATGTTTTACTTCAGTCCTGTCTTTAGTTCCAGGCTCTTTTTTTTTTTTTTATGCTGTTCAGTATTCCAAAAAGAAGTGCCTTTGGATCCAAAGCAGTGGGGTAGGTCCCCTTTAGGAGAAGAATAAGGTTTATACTAGCAGCTCTGACAAGGTGTTAACTTGCTAGCTCTTCACATTGTAAAATGCAGGAAAAGACTGAACTGGCTTTGTTGGTTAACGTTTCCTACAATTTGGGTCAGGCATTTCGGGTCAGTTCTATTTTTCACGTCACCGTCCCTGTTCAGACTTGGTCTCTTGTCCACATCCTTTCTCATTTCGTTGCTTCCCAACACCAAACGCTCCACAAGCTCCACAGTATTCCAGAGGTGACTTCTGATGACGGCACCATGGGATACTAATAGGTTTTCCAGAAGGACAGACATAATACGCTAGAATTACTCAGGGGCCGTGATGTGGATGTCACACGATTAATTATCTATTAAAGGTAAAACCCAGGAACACTTAGAGTGTGGTTCATGCACACGCAGAAGAAAGACATATCTATTTTGGAAGCCATAAAAACACTGCTAAAGCCCCCTCCAGTCAGGGAATGCAAAATAAATACACAGAGAACCATATTCTCATGAAAATAATTCAGTGAGATGATTAGTAGATTCAGATGTCAAATTGGGGTTGAGCTTGAAAGAGATGCTACGCCCATCTTTTTTTCAATGTATTAACTAGTAATGATAATGTTTAGATTTAACAGTTTTCTTCCCTTTTACTGAAAAAGAGAGAGGTCGTAGACCAACAAAGTAGAGATTTGTTATGACGTTCAATGGCAAGTGAAAGACTACTAAAAATACAATAAAAATTTAAAGTTTAGCTTCTGTGACAGCAGTTGTCCACAGTCATTTCTTGAATGTCTCCACTTACTGTCTTTTCCTAACTCTACTGTTAATTTATCCGAGATAAATAGAAAGTTGGTCATGATTCCTCATTGTTAGGAATCTTGAGCCTGTGTTCTGAGAACTGTCTAAAGGAAGCAGTCAAATAAAGTATTCCTTAAAAACGTCGGAGCCTTGGATTCACCCGTGTTTATGAGGACATTGCTATGTTGAGCTTAGTTGAGTTGTTCAAATGCAGCACTTCATGTGGACTCTCTAAACACATCCGTCCTTTAGAAATTCAGGAGGCTGGATGTGCTCCAGCTGTGGGACACTGTTGGGGTTAGGAAATCGGGCCGGCTCACTCATAACACGAAGCGGCCATACCTCAGTCCTCACGAGGGACCACTTTCGGATGCTTCATACAGTGCAAGATTTGGGGCAACAACAGTTCTCCAAATGAAAGTCTGGGACAGTGAAAACGTTTTTGAGCAACGCCAGTGTCCAGAGGAGGGAAATTGTGACTCGAGCGCCCTCTTCAGATGATGATTCTCAACTATCAGATTAGATACTTCTGTTCATCTTCTGGCTCAGGAATAATTTTAACTGTATGATATGTTCTCATGTGTTTTGTGTCAGACAATAGTGAGATTACAAATATAGGCTTTTCGCATAAACCTGATTTCCAGTATTTTGTGTGTGTGTGTGAAAGGAAATATGAGGGCCCAAAGAAGACAGCCCCTGGGTATTAGGGTCACACATCCTTGGCACTGCTTTATAAAGCCTGTGTATTTTACTAAAAACCTACTGTGATGGGTAGAAAATTCTGCATTCACTTCAGCCTCTGGAATTTAAGAGACAGATCTCCCAGATTACAAAGTAGCCAGAGCTGAAAACAGTTATTTGATTCTGTGAGTCAGATGTCCAACCTGCCATACACTTGCGCATGTTCCCAGTAATAAAACACAAGGAGGAGCGATTTGCCTTCCCAGCCTGTTATTCCTGTGAAGTGGATTCAGTCTCTCAGGCACACCTGTCAGCCCTGCCACAGCTCATTGGTATTTTGATAGGAATGGTGCTGAATCTGTAGATTGCCTTGGGTAGTGTGGCCATTTTAACAATACTGGTTCTTCCAATCTGAGAACAAGGTACATCTTTCCATCTGTTTACGTCATCATCACATTCTTTCATCAACGTCTTACTTTTCAGATTATATGCCTTTTGCCTCCTTAGGTAGGTTTATTCCTAAGTATTTTATTCTTTTTGATGTGATGGTAAATGGGATTGTTTCTTGAATTTCTCTGTCTGAGATTTCATTGTTAGTGTATAGAACTGTAACAGATTTCCATATGCTTATTTTGTATCCTGTAGCTTTACCAGATTCTTTGGTGAACTCTAGTAGTTTTCTGGTGGCATCTTTAGGATTTTCTATGTATAGCAAATCGTGTCATTAGCAAACAGTGACAGTTTTGCTTCTTCCTTTCCTATTTGGATCCTTTCTTCTCTTTTTCTTCTCTGATTGCAGCGGGTAGAACTTCCAAAACTATGTTGAATAAAAGTGGTGAGAGTGGGCATCCTTGTCTTGTTCCTTATCTTGGAGGGAATGCTTTCATATTCTCATAGTTGAGTATGATGTTAACTGTGGGTTTGTCATATATGGCCTTTATTATGTTGAGGTAGGTTCCCTCTATGCCCGCTTTCTGGAGAGTTTTATCATAAATGGGTGTTGAATTTTATCAAAATCTTTTTATGCATCTACTGAGATGATCATATGGTTTTTATTCTTCAATTTGTTAACGTGGTGTACCACGTTGATTTGTGGATATTGAAAAATCCTCGTATCCCTGGAATAAATCCCACTTGATCATGGTGTATGATCTTTTTAATATATTGTTGAATATGGTTTGCTGGTATTTTGTTGAGAATTTTTGCATCTGTGTTCATCAGTGATACTGGTTTTGTGATGTCTTTGGTTTTGGTGTCAGGGTGATGGTGGCCTCATAGAATGGGTTCGGAAGTGTTTCTTCCTCTGCAGTTGTTCGGAATAGTTTCAGAAGGATAGGTGTTAACTCTTCTCTAAATGTTTGGTAGAATTTGCCTGTGAAGCCATCTGGTCCTGGACTTTTATTTGTTGGGAGTTTTTATTTTTTATTCATTTTCTTAAATCTATTGTTTTTGGCTGCATTGGGTCTTCGTTGCTGTGCTAGGGCTTTCTCTAGTTGCGGCGAGCGGGGGCTGCTGTTCATTGCAGTGTGCAGGCTTGCGGTGGCTTCTCTTGTTGTGGAGCATGGGCTCTAGGCACACGGGCTTCAGTAGTTGCAGCATGCGGGCTCAGTAGTTGCGGCACATAGGCCCTAGAGTGCGTGAGCTTCATTAGTCGTGGTGCCTGGGCTCTAGGGCGTGTGGGCTTTAGTAGTTGTGGCTCGCAGGCTCTAGAACACAGGCTCAGTAGTTGTGGCGCACGGGCTTAGTTGCTCCAGGGCATGTGGGCTCTTCCCGGATGAGGGATCGAACCCGTGTCCCCTGCATTAACAGGTGGATTCTTAACCACTGGGCCACCAGGGAAGTCCCTGTTGAGAGTTTTTAAATCACAGTTTCAATTTCAGTACTTGTGATTGGTCTGTTCATATTTTCTATTTTCTATTTCTTCCTGGTTCAGTCTTGGGAGAATTTGTGAATCCTGGGTTGTACATTTTATGGCCGTATATTTGCTCATTGTAGTCTCTTATGATCTTTTCTGTTTCTGTGGTGTCAATTGTAACTTCTCTTTTTCATTTCTGATTTTATTGATTTGGGCCCTCTCCCTTTTTTTCTTGAGGAGTCTGGCTAAAGGTTTATCAATTTTGTTTATTTTTTCAGAGAACCAGCTTTTAGTTTCATTGATCTTTTCTGTCCTTTTTAAAAAATATTTCTATTGGAGTATAATTGCTTTACAATGCTGTGTGTGTTAGTTTCTGCTTTATAACAGAGTGAATCAGTTATACATAAACATATATCCCCATATCCCCTCCCTCTATCCCCTCCCTCTTGCATCTCCCTCCCACCCTCCCTATCCCACCTCTCTAGGTGGTCACAAAGCACTGAGCTGATCTCCCTGTGCTATGTGGCTGCTTCTCACCAGCTATCTGTTTTACATTTGGTAGTGTATATATGTCCATGCCGCTCTCTCACTTCGTCCCAGCTTACCCTTCCCCCTCCCCATGTCCTCAGATCCATTCTCTACGTCCGCATCTTTATTCCTGTCCTGCCCCTAGCTTCTTCAGAACCTTTTTTTTTTTTTTTTTTTTTAAGATTCTCTATATATGTGTTAGTTAGCATATGGTATTTGTTTTTCTCTTTCTGACTTACTTCACTCTGTATGACAGACTCTGGGGTCCATCCACCTCACTACAAATAACTCAATTTCATTTCTTTTTATTGCTGAGTAATATTCCATTGTATATATGTGCCACATCTTCTTTATCCATTTATCTGTCGATGGACACTTAGGTTGCTTCCATATCCTGGCTATTGTAAATAGAGCTGTAATGAACATTTTGGTACATGACTCTTTTTGAATTACGGTTTTCTCGGGATATATGCCCAGTAATGGGATTGCTGGGCCGTATGGTAGTTCTATTTTTAGTTTCTTAAGGAACCTCCATACTGTTCTCCATAGTGACTGTATCAGTTTACATTCCCACCAACAGCGCAAGAGGGTTCCCTTTTCTCCACACCCTCTCCAGCATTTATTGTTTGTAGATTTTTTGATGATGGCCCTTCTGACTGGTGTGAGGTGACACCTAATTGTAGTTTTGGTTTGCATTTCTCTAATGATTAGTGATGTTGAGCATCCTTTCATTTGTTTGTTGGCAATCTGTATACCTTATTTGGAGAAATGTCTATTTAGGTCTTCTGCCCATTTTTGGATTGGGTTGTTTTTTTGATATTGAGCTGCATGAGCTGCTTATAAATTTTGGAGATTAATCCTTTGTCATTTGCTTCATTTGCAAATATTTTCTCCCATGCTAAGGGTTGTCTTTTCGTCTTGCTTATGGTTTCCTTTGCTGTGCAAAAGCTGTGCCTATTTCCTCTTCATTTGTTTGGTCTGGTGGGTTTTTACCTTGCTCCTTCATCTGCTGTGTGTTTCTCTGTCTTCTCATTTTGCTTCGCTTACTGTGTTTGGGGTCTCCTTTTCACAGGCTGCAGGTTCACACTTCCCATTGTTTTTGGTGTCTGCCCCCAGTGGCTAAGGTTGGTTCAGTGGGTTGTGTAGGCTTCCTGGTGGAGGGGGCTAGTGCCTGTGTTCTGGTGGATCAGGCTGGATCTTGTCTTTCTGTTGGGCAGGACCACGTCTGGTGGTGTGTTTTGGGGTGTCTGTGAACTTATTATGATTTTAGGCAGCCTCTCTGCTAATGGGTGGTGTTGTGTTCCTCTCTTGCTAGTTGTTTGGCATAGGGTGTCCTGCACTGTAGCTTGCTGGTTGTTGAGTGGAGCTGGGTCTTAGTGTTGAGATGGAGATCTCTGGGAGAGCCTTTGCTGTTAGATATTACGTGGAGCTGGGAGGACCCTTGTGG